AATTCCCCAGCCAGCAAGGCTAGCTGGGGAATTCTGGGAGTTGAGGTCCACACAGCTTCAAGCTGCCAAGGTTGAGAAACACTGATTTACACAAACAGAATGAGACAGAGATGCCCCTTGTCAACTACACATAGCTACAAGAGGTGGGTACCTTTCAGTAGGAGCTTCATGCTAAAATCTTGACTGCATGGAGTACCTACAGGTTGCTCACCAAGGGCAGATATTTCCCTGCACTCATCCATGCTCAATGTGCAAGGATCAAGAGATCAGAGCCAGCAAGGACACATTACTATAGAGGACCCATACAAGGCAATTGCCCATTTTAATTACGGTGTTTTCCTCAAACTTAGGAGGCCCTTCAGATGAAGACAATGGCGGACTGATTAAGGCATTGCGCTAAGTGACTCCAGTCCAAATGACTTTGGCCAATCTCCCTTTCAGTTCAGCCTATCTTACAGCTGGGATGAAATGAGGAACTTAATGTACAGGTAGTCCCTGAGTTAAGAATGCCCAGTTTAAGGATGACCCATAGTTAAGAATGGAGCCTACTGTAACAAAATTCAAGTTAAATACACAATGATTTGAGTTAAATACCCAAGGATTCAAGTTCATTACCCAATACTACTTATACAGCATTATACAATAATACTGTTCCAACTTACGTACAACTTCAACTCAAGGACAGACCTTGGGACCGGTACTCGTGCTTAAACTGGGGACTACCTGTATCTTGCTTTGAACTCCCAGGGAAAAAAACAAAGTATATACTAAACATGCAAACAAACAAAAAAAATTCAACAGGCCCAGATCACATACCAGCTTTCTTCCCTCCATAAAAATGTGTATATTCTGTACATGTTATGTACCTAAAAGAGAAAGAGACGATTAGAGGAAGATGTACCCAGCCTTTCAGGAAAAAAGGCAGATAAGTTAACTCAGGCACTGGTTCCTAATTACAGATTGCTTGTATGTGTCCTTCCTGACATGCTAGAGCAGCGTTTGGAAAACAGGAAGGACAGAGCAAGAAACTCTAACTAATTTACATTCTGTCTATCCATCACGTTTATACAGCTATTTAACTGTTGGCCTGTCTAATTTACATAGCCACCCATCTCACATAGTGACTCTGGGCAGCATACGCAACAGAGCAATCCAAACAGATAAAAACCAATGAAAAATACAACCAACATAACTTAAAAAGATTTTAAAAACCCACAAAATTGCAAAATCACACACAAAGAAACCCATACAGAGAGCCCTTGCCCGTTAACCATCAGGTAACCATCTAGCAGGCTCACTCTATCATGGGAACTCTACAGACTGAATGTTATATATTCATTATTTTTATATGTATGTATATATGTGTATATATATGTGTATATATATGTG